AAAAAAAAAAAAAGAAAGAATTAAAATAAGTGCCTGGGCAAAGTCATTAAGGCCGTAAGCAAGTCAAGCAGTCGACTGCAAATCGCAAACTATGTTTTACAAAGCCCAGACCAAACTTAGAGTCCTAACAACGCGAGGATCAGTCATGAAGATAATAATGGATACAATGAACAGAAAAAAAATAAAATAAACCAAAATATTCGAACTGAAAAGTATCAGCGAATCGGATGGTACGAAATTCCGGACAACAGTAAACTGCGAATATCTCGTCGAGTTCACAGACTGTGAACCTTGATGTAACTAACATACAATTACCAGTAATAGATAAAACTATTTTGCAAAATCATTCAAATAACTCCACGTGCCTTCAGATCTTCTTTAGCTTCCTGTACTTCTTTCATTAATTCACTCTGGGCAAGTGGACAATCATTGAAAGTTGCCACACCGTACAGAACGCTACATACAGCGTAAACCTGAACAAAACAATTTCCGATTTAAAAGGAGTTATTTACCGTACAAATAAGAACTGATGAAAAAAAGCACTGATTAAAATAATTGGTAGGTTACTTACGCCCAGCATCACAATAGCATAAACTGGTATCTGAAACAAAAAGTTCTCACTCAAATACGTCAACGAAATACATGAATAACCTTACAAATGAAAGAACTAAAACAGAAGCAACTTTAAAAAGATGGCTGAATTAGAATGATTGCATAGGTCTAAAGTACCCAAATTTGCAGAAGATAATGGTAAATGCGTTAGCGAGTTTAAAAAAATATTTCGGTAAAAATCTGGATACATACATATAGGATAGTGCTGCGCCAACTTTCCGGTAAGGGTAACCAATCTTGAAGAAGTACCAACCAAACAGCACCACATGCTACAAGTCGAAGACCGTATCTCGTCAGATGAGACATCTGCAGAAATTCTTCTTGACTGGTCTCGATATAGGAGAAAATGTGAAGAAACACAACAAAGACAGTTTTGAGAAAACATTTTACGACTGCACGACAAAATGTGTTAAATGAATTTTCAACGCTGACTACACGAAGTAAATTTCAGATACACAGTTGTGTACAACATCCTTATTGCTTCTCCAGAAAGTCGAGAAAAAAGCTGCAACTGTTAAGATAACTAGTCGTAACTGTGCCATAGAGTCATTGGCACTATACTAAAATTATAATTTAACCGACAGATATCGTGAACAATTTTTTCATCGCTTGAAGCCTGCAGTTTCTGACTTTGTTGTCGCCTGGACAACAACGGTATCACTAATTTTGTTCTCACGGCTCATCACATAGCAGCCGTCTTAGACAGGCAGCATGTGAAACAAAAGGATAAATTTCCTTGAGATCTAGGAATTTTGACTAAAACTTCCTTTCTATACCATCAATAAAACTCCAGCTAAAAACGAGACCACTACTCCTGAATAAGGAAGAGGTATCCAAGCTGGTAAAAAGTGAACAAAAAAGACACAAAAGATAATGCAGATAAACATTAAAAAATTAAAAGGAAACAATAAATGAAATAATTAAATTTCATATAAAAAACGTAAAAAGAATATTTGGAAGTTGTAACAAGAAAAAAACAAATACTTCTTAATAATGCAAGTGAAATCACTACGACGAAAAAAAAAAAGGAATCGATTCAACACAAAATTTGCTTAATAAAACACTACAGCTGCAAAAAACTAAAATCTACTAATCGTGAACT